TAACAATGACAATATTTAATATAGATAATGAAGATGATGATAATAATGATAATAATGATAATAATAGTCATTATAACAATGACAATATTAATAATAGATAATGATAATAATGATGATGTTGATGATTATGATGATGATGGTGGTGATGATAATAATAACAATGATATTATTAATAACAAATGATAATAATGATGATGATGATAATAACAAAAAATAATAAAAATAACAATGACAATAAATCTTTGAGTAAAAATGATAATAACATTAATCATATTTCCATATTTCAATAGGATCCTGTATATTTTTGATTATACGTTATTACACTAGTTAGCCATACAAGACCAAACATTCGTTTTCTATCACCACTTCTGCACTATAGAAAACGTTTTCCTTGCACTGTGGTATTAATAAAAGTCTGCTTTTTCTTCTTTATTTATATCAAACAACCGAAAAATTATACACAAGAGATGTTTCCTTTCCTTAACCTCAAAGATGAGCATAAATCTAAGTACATAAGAATACAAAAAACAGAGATATTAATAATATTTGATCCTGCAATATAATTTTGCTGTAAGATGTTTACACACTAGAGAAATATAGACATCACCCTTATGTGTGTGTTATTATTGGCTTATTTGTGTAGTTATTGGTGTCATTGTTATTCATTCCTATGATTTTATTTTCGTAACAAATAGCTTCTTCCTTAACGACAATCTCTCTTACTCTCATTTCTGTTGTTTTTGTAAACGGATAATTTTTAAATTAACACCACATCTTCTGGATTTTAAGAAAGGTCTTGAAAAAATTATCATATGCAATCCAGTGTTTCGTAAATGTATTCATAGCAATCACAACTGATAATAGGCCAAATACAGACATAAAAATCCACTCATTGAATTGCAAGAAAACCAATGAGTTCCCAATATTATCACGACGAAGGTGAGGTTCTATCTGACCAGGTTTAGGTCAAGATGAAAGAATATATTTACTTGCCTTTTTTTTATTAAGTCTCGCTTCCTATCACGTTAATTCGATTTTCAACCAATTGGCTGTCAGAATAGAACCTGTCCCTCGAACAATCGCTAATTTATTTATTTTTTCCTTTTTTTATTGTATCATTTGTTAATTTACTGTTGACAGCGTAGCTTGGCAAACGAGTGCTTATTTCACCATAGACGTCCACAAGCCTAGATTTTTTCTAGCATATACAAGAATAGGTGTCTTTTCAAACAATAAAGATGATATCAATACTAACCAAAAATTTATTCATGGCTACACACGTTATTTTGTGATTGTACACACAGCCCCCCCTTGCACATAGTGAGCACATAGACGTATCCTCATAGCATCAATGTAAATGTTATTGGCACAAAGATAACCTTCATACATTAAACTCACATGTTGTTCAAAAATATTAAAGAATATGGTACGAAGCGTAGACTTTGTAACGTTCAAAAATGACGAATATGTATTAATGCAAATTTACTGATGACATTCTCCAACTTGTTTTTCTTTCATTCAAAAACATAATTCTCATGTAGATTATTTTATTGATTCCCTGACTCGCACGTGTACTACCTTATTTACATTATTCTTATCGATTTTAATGTCTATTATCTTACTCTCCTCCTCATTTAAGCATTTACTGTGATGTTAATTAAAAATGATCCGTTAAAAAAATGAGAGTAAGAGAGATTGTCGTTAAGGAATAAGCTATTTGTTACGAAAAAACAACAACATAGGAATGAATAACATGACACCAATAAATAACTACACAAATAATGGTGATGTTTCTATACCATTACAATATTTACATACGATATGCATTATATTATAAATTCTCTAGTTTCTATAACATGGTGCAGCAAAATCATATTGCAGGATCAAATATTATTAACATCTTTGTTTTTTGTATTCTTATGTACTTAGATTTATGCTCATCTTTGAGGTTAAGGAAAGGAAACATCTCTTGTGTATTTTTTTCGGTTGTTTGATGTATATGAAGAAGGAAAAGCAGACATTTATTAATACCATAGTACAAGGAAAACGTTTTCTATGATGCAGAACTGTTGATAGAAAACGAATGTATGGTCTTGTATGGCTAACTAGTGTAATAACGTGTAGTCAAAAATATACAGGATCCTATTGAAATATGGAAGTATTTCCATGATTAATGTTATTATTATTTTTACTCAAAGATTTATTGTCATTGTTATTTTTATTGTTTTTTGTTATTATCATTATCATCATTATTATCATTTTTATTAATATTATCATTAATATTGTCATTGTTATGATGACTATTATTATTCCTATTATAATTATCATCATCATCATCATTAGTAGTAGAACAACATCGTCGTCAGAATAACTATCACTGAAGATTAATAGTTAGAGTTATGAAACAATATATCGCATATGCTCATTTTCTCAAAGCCTTTCTTAAAATCCAGAAGGAGATGAAGGAGACAAGTAGTACAAACAGAGAGAGAGAGAGAGAGGAAAAGAAGGGAAAGAAATGCTGAAGAAAGAATAGTAATGATTTCGAAGTAATCATAACGGTGTTATTTTTACTTATCCACCTGGCATGATTCGTCGAGAAAATACCGCTGTATTTAGAGGATATTGTAACGGAAAAGTCTCACCTCGAATATTATTTTCAGCCTTTAGTTTTTATTTACTAAGTTTGTCATTGATGTCGTCTGTAATTTTTCTGTTTCTTTAAACACTCTTTAGATGTTTATTGGTTTCTCATAGAGAATGTATCACAACACAAGGTTATCTTCATTGTATTTCGTTTCGGGATAACTCTGGTCTTAAACAATGTAAGCCATTATAAGAAGTTGGCGCGTCCAATTGGGTCTCAAACCAACTGTCCAATTATACGTTTCTTAAACTTTTGTCAAATTAAACCTCCATCCATAACATGAACATCGATGTATTTACGCTAATTCAATCTGTCTCACAACTGCAGTGCATTAAAGTAAAGATATCAATGTTTGTGTTTTATGTGAAAGCATAAATTCACAAATTGTTTAATCAACGCAATTGGTCTGAGACCCTAATATCTGCAGTTCAGTTTCCTTGTTTAATGATTGTTTTACTTAGTCACTCACAGTCACAGAGGATGATGTCTGAAGCTGGTATTATTTATGGATGGTTAGAGTACTTCTTATGACAGTATGGCCCTTCTTTCGGGATGCTGCCTGAAATTACTTTTCGTTACCTCAACTTGTGTGTGTCATGTCTTCAATATTTTCCTTGAATAATAGTCATTATAACAATGACAATATTAATATTTGATAATGGTGATAATGATGATGTTGATGATTATGGTGATGATGGTGATGGTGGTGATGATATTAACAATAACAATGATAATATTAATAACGAATGATAAAAATGATGATAATGATAATAACAAAAAACAATAAAAATAACAATGACAATAAATCTTTGAGTAAAAATAATAATAACATTAATCATGGAAATACTTCCATATTTCAATAGGATCCTGTATATTTTTGAATTACACATTATTACACTAGTTAGCCATACAAAACCAAACATTCGTTTTCTATCTCTAGTTCTGCATCATAGAAAACGTTTTCCTTGCACTATGGTATTAATAAAAGTGCTTTTTCTTCTTCATTTATATCAAACAGCCGAAATATCAATACACAAGAGATGTTTCCATTCATTAACCTCAAAGATGAACATAAATCTAACTACATAAGAATACAAAAAACAGAGATATTGATAATATTTGATCCTGCAATATCATTTTCCTGTACCATGTTATACACATTAGATAATTTATAATACAATGCATATTGCATATAAATATTGTAATGGTATAGAAACATCACCATTATTTGTGTAGTGATTGGTGTCATTGTTATTCATTCCTATGACTGTTTTCGTAACAAATAGCTTCTTCCTTAACGACAATCTCTCCTACTCTCATTTCTGTTGTTTTTGTAAACGGATCATTTTTAATTAACATCACAATAAATAGTTAAATGAGAGGGACCGTAAGATGATAGACATTAGAATCGATAAGAATAATGTAAATAACGTAGTACACGTGCGAGTCAGCGAATCAATAAGATAATCTACATGAGAATAATATTTTTGAATGAAAGAAGAACAAGTCGGAGATTGTCATCAGTAAATTTGAATAAATATACATTCGTCATATTTAAAATGTTTTACGCATCGTACCCTATTCTTTCATATTTTTGAACATGTGAGATTAATGTATGAAGATTAGCTTTGTGCCAATAATATGTACGTTATATCTCTGAGGATGCGTGCGATCAAAATAGCGGACTACGCTAATGCTGTCTATGTGTTCACTGTGTGCGTGGGGGAAGGGGGGAGGGGGGGGGCTGTGCGTACAATCACAAAATAATGTGATATCATCTTTATTGTTTGAAAAGACACCTATTCTTGTATATTCTAAAAATCTAGGCTTGTGGACGTCTATGATGAAATAAGCACTCGTTTGCCAAGCTACGCTACCAACAGTAAATTAACAAATGATACAATAAAAAAGTGGAAAAATAAATTAGCGATTGTTGTATTCTGACAGCCCATTGGTTGAAAATCGAATTAACGTGATAGGAAGCAACACTTAATAAAGAAGGCAAGGGAATATATTCTTTCATCTTGACCTAAACCTGGTCAGATGGAACCTCACCTTCGTCGTGATAATATTAGGAACTCACAGGTCTTGCAATTCAGGAGTGGATTTTTATGTCCGTAATTGGCCTATTATCAACAAGACTACAGAGTTCGTTATTGTAGTCAGTTCATATCTTTTACTTTTATTTCATTCTTCGACAATATATAAAAGCTATGGGGCATATTTTATTTCATATGTAGATTAAACCAACCCTCAGTTCACTTTTTATTATTGTTGTTTTTTCCAAATTTTATTAAATCTATCTCGAGTCAAAATTTCATCTGAACAGGTCACAGGATTAGATAAACACATATAACATCGTCTGTTTTATTTTATCTTAAATAGTTACAGCACAAGCATTCCATATAAATACACTATTCATTTTCTTTTCTTTATATTTTATATCTTATGTATCTTCAGCTAAGAAAAAGGCGTCAAACTAAGGTTATTTCGGTCAATTCACACGATATGAAACAGTCGATAGAGAGGTAAGTTTACAGCTGATGAAAAAATGGTATTCCGGAATCGTAATATCAATATGATATATTTATAAGCTGGCCATATATTCTCGATTTAGGATTCGGCGACACCACAAAGGAATACAAATGATACAAAGGAAGAAGGAATAAAGCGTAAATGATAAGAGAAAGGAAGAAATAAAACGTATAATAATAGGAAATGAAAGAAACGTGTGTAAATTGGTAATGTCCACGAAAAAAAGGTATGAATGATTTAGAACAAATTGATATCAAAGTGGAATGAAAATGAATGAGGAAAATTAAGTGTAAGTAAAAATATAAGACAGAGAGGAAGAGAAGACTAGATAGCAAATAAAAGACTGACATAACACTTTTCGCTTTTCGTCGTTACAAATTGTACTAGAACATTTGTAAAAGATACTAACGCTACATTCTCCAGAATTCGGTATTCTTAAAGCCTACATAAAATGGCATAGAACAAACTCTCTTAACTAATACCATCAGATATAACTTCTCAGATCCAGTGAAGGTCACACTTTATGCTGGAACACCGTACGTTGTCGTGGGCGAGGTCTGTGAAGGAGCAGGATTTGCCCCTTGGGTAGTTGGCTGCGAAGGAGCTGGGGATGCTCCTTCACCCTTCACACCCTGGGCAGTCACGATCGGTCGGTGGAAGGGTGAAGGAACCGGCTGGGGGATGTGGGAGGACACGGGTTGGAATCCCTGGACGCCGGCGGTGTAGGAGAGGTCGAAGGGCACGCCGTTGGGGAGAATGAATCTGTAAAAAAGTTGTGTAAAGTTTAGTAGGAATAAAAGTGGACTGTATCTCTTTAGATGATGAGACCGGAATTTGCAATTGCACACACACGCACACACACACAATCACACATAAATGCATATATATAAAGATAGGTAAATGTAGATATGAATAAGTAGGCAGATAGGTTTGTATTGCTATAAATAGCTAGGTAGATAGACATGCATACATGTATATGTATATAGATAGTTATATAGATAGCTAGACAGACAGACAGATAGAAAGTTTATATACATGTATGTGTGTGTGGGTGGGTGTAAACATACATGGATATATATACACATATATGTGTTTGTATTCAGGATATTTGCTTGTATAGGGTACAAGCAACAGAAAAACTAGAGGGATATTCTCCGCCAACTTACGAGTAGTTGCCTGCCACGTTGAGCGGGGTGAGGGCGCCCCCAGATCCGGTCTCGTGCCTGACGGTGCCATCTCCGCCCACGACGCTGAAGGAGAAGTTGGTGGTGTTGGCCACGACGTCGTGCGAGCGGAGGTTGAGGAGAATGGGAATCGGCGCAGGTGCCCCTAGCGTCGCAGCTGTGGTTCCGGCAGAGGCTCCAGCAGACGCGGTAGATGGGGCTGCTGCAGAACCAGATGAAGCTGCAGCAGAGGCAGAGGCGGCTGCAGGTGAGCCAGAGGCAGCGGGGGAAGAACCAGATGATGCGGCTGCTGAAGCGGAGGATGCAGGGGCAGCGGAGGATGCAGGGGCAGAGCCAGCAGACAGTGCGCTTGACTGGCCCGGCAGTCCAGTGGAATCAACGACAATGATGGGAACGGAGCCTGGAACGACAGGGGCCTGTGCAGTAAGAGCAGCTGGTGCAGCTGGTGCAGGAGCAGCGTGAGTGGTGGCAGGGGAAGCTCCGACAGAGGTTGATGGAGCTGCAGAGGAACCAGAGGATGCTGGGGCGGAGCCAAAGGAAGCTGGGGCAGAGCCAGATGGAGCTGCAGCAAAGGCAGACGAGGCTGGGGCTGAGCCAGATGAAGCAGGGGCGGAGCCAAGTGATGCAGAGGCGGAGCCAGATGAAGCAGGGGCGGAGCCAAATGATGCAGGGGCGGAGCCCAGGGGCGGAGCCAGATGAAGCAGGGGCGGAGCCAAATGATGCAGGGGCGGAGCCAGATGAAGCAGGGGCGGAGCCAAATGATGCAGGGGCGGAGCCAGATGAAGCAGGGGCGGAGCAGCAGGGCGGAGCCAAATGATGAGCCAGATGAAGCAGGGCGGAGCCAAATGATGCAGGGGCGGAGCCAGATGAAGCAGGGGCCCAAATGATGCAGAGCCAGCAGGGGCGGAGCCAAATGATGCAGGGGCGGAGCCAGATGAAGGGGCGGAGCCAGGGGCGGAGCCAGATGAAGCAGGGGCGGAGCCAAATGATGCAGGGGCGGAGCCAGATGAAGCAGGGGCGGAGCCGGCAGACAGTGAGCCTAGACCTGCCATCATAGCAGGGTCAATAAGAATAATTGGAGCGGAACCTGGAACAATAGGGGCTTGCGCAGTAAGAGCAGCTGGTGCAGGGGCA